TCTTTGAAATGAGAGTAATCCGACTGTCGTAGATTGAAGTATCTTGAAAACGCATTCTACACTAAAAGTTCCAATTTTGCAGGCGAAGGAAAGCCGTAAAAAAAACTAATCTCAAAGTACAATGTCTCCGGCATCATTTATTTCTTAGAAACTTGTCATATTGTATTTGTCACTTGACTATATAGCGATAGATGTCGTTGTTGTTCATTTCTCATCGATTGTCATCGATATAAATGGTTCGAAAAAGAACCCATTGCATGCAAAGACCGTGGATTTTTATATAAAATATTGTACTCATTTGCATTCTTTACAATCATTATTGATTTGTATCAAACTAAAAGTAAATAATGAGCAGTGATTGTATAATGTCTGTAGAAAACAAACCACAAAAGATGACAGTCGATGAATATTCAAAATTAATAGCCAAATGGCAAGAAGCATATTATGCATGGAATAACAGTTATGTTACTTATTATAAGTAAATATTATAATATTTTTAAAATGAAAAAAAAAAAAATTCTTTTTTTTTTTGTTCTCAAGTATGATGATGTTTAATTCATTGGTACAACAACTACCTGTTCTTACAGGTGTTAATCTTCTTACAACGACTACTGAAATAAATCATCCAGTACCTGTTGATCCTTTAGCAGATATTAGAAATGGTTAGAATAGTTTCTTTTTTTTTTTATAAACAACGAAAATATTTTGTGTTATTAGCACGTTTAAAAGTTGCATCAATCTGGCGTCGTTTTCTAGCTGAAGCAATTGATTTTATTCTTTTACATGCATTTAAGTAAATAAATTTATATTAAAATGTTATTTTTATTTTTTAATTTTTTTGTTAAAGAATTCTTATCATATTTATTCTTTCAAATTATTTACATTTAATTGATGCAAGTCGACTTACACTTAATTATATGATATCAAGTTTAATTTATGATGAAACTCTATCATTTCCAATTGAACTTATTTGTGTTGAACTTGCATATTTAATAGGAAGCATTGCATTTGAGGTTAAATATTATTTTAGTTATTTTAATGGAAAAAAAAATATACATATATATATATTTAATTTTTTTATTTTCAGAGTTTTTGTCTTACACGTTATGGTGCAACACCAGGTAAACGTATTTTTCGTTTACGTGTTCTTAAATGTGATCATCTTCAAATACAAGAAAATGGTGATGTTACTATTGAACCTGGTACAATACTTGATAGTGCAGCGTAAGATTTATTTTTTTATAAAAATAAATTTGAATCTTTTGATATAAAATGATGGAAAAAAGTTTAGAAACAACGATTTTTGTTTTTGATTTTTTTCATAATGTTAAGCACGTAGCTCCTACCCAAATAGTGATTTTAATAGTTAATGAAGTTTTCTATCCAATACACTTTATAGCAAGATTTCATAGATGAACAATGAATGATGGCAAGGCTCCTAAAAAAACCGAACACGGTATTTTTCAGGTTCTAGAAGACTTTGCCAGAGCTATTTTTAAACGGTGCCATCTTAAAGAACACAAAATTCTGAGCAAAATGAGGGATCACCGATTTTTCTACGACCTTCTCACAAAAAGTTACAAGCATCACAAAAATCATGAAAAAGGCGTTTTTAGTCGATTTTTAAAAAAAAAATTCGTTTTTTCATTATTTTAGTGATGCTTGTAACTTTTTATGAGAAGGTCGTAGAAAAGTCGGCGACCCCTCATTTTGCTCAGAGTTTTGTGCTCTTTAAGGTGGCACCGTTTAAAAATAGCTCTGACAAAGCCTTCTAGAACCTGAAAAATACCTTGCTCGGTTTTTTAGAAGCCTTGCCATCATTGTTCATCTGTGAAATTCTGTTATAAAGTATATTGGATAGAAATCTCCATTGGCTATTAAAATCCCTATTTCGATTGGAGCTACGTGCTTAACATTATGAAAAAACCAAACAAATCGTTGTTTTTAATCTTTTTTTACACCATTTTATATGTATATATATATATATGTTATTTTGATTTTAGAGCATTAACTCGTTCATCATTTAAGACTCTTATGTCAACATTTTTATTTCCAGCTATTATTGTTGCTTTATTAACATCACAAAATCGTCAAACAAGTTATGATATGGCTGCTAATACTGTTGTTGTTGAATTTCAACGTCGACAGTAAATTCAATTAATGGTTTTGTCTTCTTTTTATTTTTTACTATTATAGTTGAACTTATTTTTTTTGTAAATAAGAAAAGAGGCAATGGGAAAACATTAATAACTTCATTAAAGTTTTTTTATTATTATTATTATTATTAACTCATGTATATTATTTTTCATTATTTAAGATGACAAGTAATAATAATAGCACTGTTAATATTCAATTATCAAATTTAAGCGAAAATTATCATGAAAGTGATAGTGATGATAGTGAATTAGATGAACCACAACAGCCAAGGCCAACTGTTGAAGAACAAATTGATCCGGTGAGTTATTTTGATATGTGCATTTTTTTTAAAACTCTAGTTCTATGAGTATAACGCAAGATTGATCGGAAGATCGACTAATAGAAAAGATTTTGAGATTAAAAGAACTCTAGAAGGAATTCGATTCATAAATCTTCTCTACAGAGTTACGGTAGTTTTTGCTAAATGTTATTAGCAAAACTGATGTGCATATATTGTAAATCGAAGGATTCTGATGAATTTAATAAAGAGGAGACGTCAAAGACAGGTACTGTAAATCCAATCTTCTTTCATAAAAATAGCGCAGAAAACTTCAGTTCCGTGGCTAACAAGGAATGTCTTCCGACTGTGACTCGTCAATAGAATTAATATGTTGCCTATCAACAGGTTGCGTCGGCTTTAGAATGTCTTGAAAATTTCCGTCTAAAGTGACATATTCTTCTTGAGATATTAAATATCCTAAAACTGATCATATGTCACAAAGAAAGCCCAGTTTTTTCTACAGTTGATATCTTAGAAAAACAAAATATCCCTTTAGGCTGAAATTTTCAGGATATCCTAAAGCCCATGCAACCTATTAGTTTGATTGGCGAGTCACATTTGAAGATGTTCCCTTATTAATCAAAAAAAAATCTATCCGATCAAATCGGTGCATCGTGCGCTGTAAACAAATTCATGAATTCTTTGAAAAAGAAAACATTGAATAAATGGATTCAACGAATGCAATTAAATGTGAATAATCAGGACGATTATTTCGAACATTTAATGAGCTTATGTATTTCTATCAATATCACTTTTATCATGCTCTAATATGTTAGGCATTAGAGAAGATAAGAAAAATAAAGAAGATACACATCAAAGACAAAATGTAATCATTCATGTGTTCGATTACAATCGAACTGCGATGCAGTTACTAAAAATATCATTGGTTAGGAACTCAAATCTGAAGTTCGGTATTTTATTTTGATATTTTTATTCTCAATTAATTTTATTTATAATAAAAATAAATTGTAAAATTACAATAAAAAAATTAATAAAATAAAAATCTGACCTCGGATTCGAATTCGCAATCCACGAAAACTTCGTACACAATGTTTTCATTTCGAAAATTTGAATTGTGGCTGGATACTGTACTAGCGCTAGGGTATCACCAATTACAAATAAGCAGGAACCGTTTGTGATTGGTTCTATCATATACAGTGGCTCGTACGATACGAGCACTGCGGCGCAGTAATCTTATAACTGCAACGTAGTTGTAAGAAAAAAAGGCGACATGGGCTAATATTACCGTCATATGTTACTGATGAAGGAAGTGTTTCAGCGCAGAATGAGTTCACCCTAAAAGTTACTTTAATATAGCTTTCAAAATCTCTTAGGATAGGCTGATGAGAACGTCTCTTCAGTTGCCCTCTACTAATTTCAATGGTTTTTTTTGGCTATGGATGCTACAGTGTTCTAATAAAAAAAAACTTGAATTTTCGAATTTTGATTTAAAGCTTTACATATATAGATAATTCAACTATACTACTTTAGGGTCTATATCTTGAAAGTCTCATATACTTTGTTTAAAACTTGTGAATTTTTTTTTATAGAAACTAGTCTAATTGATTTTTCTATATGCACAAAATTTCAGATAAAAATTCGAAAATACGAGTTTGTTTATTAGAACACTATGTAGTATCTATAGGCAGAAAAAAAATCATTGAAATTGGAAAGAGAACAGTTGAAGAGATTCCTTCATGGCTCCCTCTAATCAACTTTCACTATTGGAATCCCCGAAGATTTCCGAAAGGGAGTCCTCTGGAACTTTGCAATGAATTCTCGAGTAGGGTCTTCCACTATTACATATCATTACAAACAACTCTTATCGAAATTTTATTAGTTGAAAAGTGATAAAATAATAATACGTCTGTCACTACTTTTGAAATGTTCTAAGTAGATTAGTATTGATTTCATTCGCTCAATTCTATCATTTAAATCAATAGATTCCGATATATATTATTTATCATTCTTTTTTTCTCTGTATAGAATCAACTTCAATGGCTTCCATGGATGTGGTATTATGCAAAACGATCAGCAAAAAAAGGTTATGAAATATGTGATGCAACAGGAGAAAAATTAGCTTGGTTTTTTGGTATAACAAAACCAAAATATTATGCTGAAATTCAAGAATATGAACGTATGGATGAAGAGGTACATTTTATTATGAATGTCAATAATTTTCAATATATAAATTGTTAAATTACTAGGAACGAGAAGCATGGCGACAAGCATTTCAAGATGTTGAACAAACTAGTCATGTACTTGATTCAATTGTAAGTTATATTTAAAAACAAAATATTAGATTTTCTAGATGTTACAAAATTTCATATATTTTAGAGATAAATAAGTAGGTTGGGTTGCCTAATATATTCTTAACATTTACACGTTTTTTTTTCGTTTTTATTGAAAATTTAACCTTTGCACGATATATATATGACATTTATTAAATCATTGATAAACATATTTATTTTTAATTTTTGCTTTGCTTATTTTTTTTTTCTTTCTAATAGGTTACTGTTCCACCTCAACCATCAAATCTATTCACTATTTCCCATAAAGATAATACAAAAGAATGACTTATTTTGCAATAATTTGATTGTTTTATATAATATTTTAAATTTCTAATTTTTGTTTTTTTTTTGTTTATTAATAAAAAAATTTCTAACACAAAAAAAAACGATTCAATTCGATAGTTGACTGTAGAAAGGTCGAAAGGAAAAATGTTTTCGAAAATTCTCATTAACAATATACATTTCTTATTATATCTTTATCTATCAAGTGATTGTTCTCGAAATATCGAAATTTATGATCTCGTAGAAAATCGAGTTTCGACTTGAAATTTTTGTGTAATTATTATCTATTCAAAAAGTTAACGAACTTTATTGTATGACAAATAACTCAAGCATAAAAGTAGTTAGCAATCTACAGTTTTCAGCATTCGAAAGAGAACAGATAAATTTATCAATCTATGTAAATTCTATTGCCAAGTTATTAGTATTCTTCTGAAACTCTCGAAATGAGTTGACATAGAAGTTTTTGTCCATGTTGACATAAGTGATGATATTTGTTTCCTTTTATAAAATAACATCAGGCTATAAAATTTTGATCTGATTTTTTCATGTTGCTTCAACACTACCTTTTGTATCAACATGGGCAAAATCTTCTATATCAACTCATTTCGAGAGTTTCAGGAAAATACTTATAACTTGGCAATAGAATTTACAAAGACACTGTTTTTAAAATGGTCACTGAGAACTGATTATTTTACATAGATTGATAAATTTATCTGTCCTCTTTCGAATACTAAAAACTGCAGATCGCTAACTAGTTTTATGCTAGAATTATTTGTCATACAACAAAATCCATTGATTTTTTTTTTTGAATGGATAATACTTGTACAATCACAACTAATCTTAATAAGAATTTTGTTCATGCAAAATTTCGATATCTCAAGAATGAAGACTCATCATAATCGAAAAGCATTTTGACATCTGGAAAGCTTTCCTCATAAGATTTTCTTTTTTCGTGAATTAATAAAATGAAATAATTTGCGATGTTCGTTGACAGATTTTTAGTTGGATAGTAGTGCTTTTTTTTTTGTTTCGATATTTTTCCTTTTGACCTTTCTATAATTAATAAACATATAAGATCTTCTTCAGTTGTTTCTGACAATGATGTTCGATATTCAATTGCATAAATTAATGGTGTTTTACCAAATTCTATTAAAATATATATATATATATATATATATAAATTTTTATTAGAGAAAAATTTTTTTTTTCTTTTTCATACGATCAGTAAGATTTATATTTGCATTATAATTACATAATATATCAATAAAAACTTCATCAGCCCAACCACATGCTCGATAAAAATCTGATGCTAATATTGAACCTGTACGTCGATTTATATCAACATTTAATTCAAGTAATGCAAATACTGTATCTAAATGACCACTAATATAAGCAAGCCATAATGGTGTATTTCCAAATTCATCTGAATCATTAAGATCAGCACCTTCACGATACATTTGTTCAATATCATTTGTACGACCTTCAATACATGCATCATGTACATTACGTGACATAAATGTCCATGGTAATACATCCATATCTGTTTCGTAGATAAGTTTCATTTGTTTTTGTTTTTGTTTTTTCAAAATAAGACAATCGATCGTTATCGAAATACAAACAAAAAAAAAGAATTAACATAAAAATAAAGTAATGAACATAATAAATGTTTATATGATAGAAAAATGAATTAAGAAGGATGTCGGCGATGAATGTTAATGATGGAATTTGGGACGAAGTTATTTTTATTTTTTATTTATTCACGAGTTTAACTCACTCCTTCCAGGGGAAAAATTGGAAGATAGAAATATCTTTATCTACCGCCTTATATTTTTTTTTCATATTTTGTAACTATGACAGTCGAAGATAAAAAAACAAATACATCAATATGTTTAATCATTCAAACGAATTTGACTTTGTCAAATAAATATGATCTTATTAAGCAACATCGTCTACATTCAAATCCGATATACAGGTGTCGGCAAAAAAAAAACTTGGAAATCTTGTTATGCCAGTATTCTCTGATATATATATGTCATCTTCAAATTGTTTCATGTATTGCTTGATAGCCTATGACGAGTACTATCGAACACCATATTTCAATATTTTATTCGTTCACCTTGAGAAGAAATAAGAGACAAACATCTTTCTTTCATGGACATAATACAATTTCTTACAGTATTAATTTCAACGTTTTTGAATTCTTGAGCTAAGAAATGTTCAAGATCATCAATATTTTTCGGTTTTCTTTTTTTCCAACTTTTCGTTTTATGATCGATCATATATTCTCAATAGGATTAACATCATGACTGTTCGATGTCCAGTTACATTATTGCTGATAAATTGTTTATAAATATTACTCCAATGTTTTAGATCATTGTCCTGTTGTAGATACCAATTTCGACGAAAATTTGTCGATATTGTAATAGATAGTACTCAGTGAGATATTTGTTTCAAGATGAATAACACTGGTAGATCGTATACCTTTATTTCAACAATACAAAATTGAGATATGATGATTTTTCAAATGACTAGATAGTGTCATGATTTGATATACCTTGGATAGAGCTTGTCAAATTACTTCTAATAATGTTTTTCTAGCGAAAATTAAGTTTAAAAAAAAAGTGAAATCTATAAAAATTGAACTACGCCGAAAATATCAAGTCTACCTCGATTTTACTCGTCATATGGTTAAAAAAAACAATAATGCTTAACTTTTTAAATTGTTGAGAATATCAATTTTTTCGATATAATAGCAAAAGTTCATCCTTGTGTAAGAAAAAATTCTAAACGATAAAAAATTTACACGAAAAAAAAAGGAACAAGCTAATAATCTTTATCAATTCTAGATGTAAATGTATTTGTTTTAAACAAAGCTGAATGTAGAACATCGTATATTCGATTATCTCATCTGAGTGCAAAAAAATATTCTGACAAAAAAATCCACAAAGTGACAGATCATTTTTGAGATGAGTTTCATTTCATGAGGTAGGTCCTACTGAGGGCTAACAATATTTACAAGAAGTCATTCTCGTAAGTCTGGCCTTTTGAGTTATAGATATTTTAGTGAATTTTGCAATAAAATACTATGATAAACCTCGAATCATTTTCAACACCAAGTTTTTCAATTCCAATTCATATCTCATGATTGACAAAACTATAATCTTATTAAGAATTTAAATTATTTAAAGTTTGAAGTAGAAACTCGAACTTTATCGATGAAACTAATTGAATATAATTCAAAAAGAAAACTTCTTGTACATAAATCTTTTTTTTTAAAGTTTTGTCTTGTCTCCATAGGATCAACTTTTAATGAGTTAATATTGATTTCAACAATGATTTATTACTTCACAAGATTCCCTGATGAGTATTCAACAAAATTTTGATTATTATCTAATATTTTTAAAAAAAATGACATTATTTCAACTGAATGAAGACAATAAGAAT